TTTGGTATAACGTGCTGAATTAAGCCTAGAGTGATGTATGCCAAGTTTGGAGAAAATCGGTCCAGATTTAGATATAGCTCCCATATATAGTTTCGTCCGATTTCATGTAAATGGTGCCCCAAAGTCCCTATATATCTTTCGATTTGCACGAAATTTGGTACAGCCTAATCAATTAGGTCTAGAATGATGTCTGCCAAGTTTCGTGAAAATCGGTCCAGATTTAGATATAGCTCCCATATATAGTTTCGTCCGATTTCATGTAAATGGTGCCCCAAAGTCCCTATATATCTTTTGATTTGCACGAAATTTGGTATAACGTGCTGAATTAAGCCTTGAGTGATGTATGCCAAGTTTGGAGAAAATCGGTCCAGATTTAGATATAGCTCCCATATATAGTTTCGTCCGATTTCATGTAAATGGTGCCCCAAAGTCCCTATATATCTTTCGATTTGCACGAAATTTGGTACAGCCTAATCATTTAGGTCTAGAATGATGTCTGCCAAGTTTCGTGAAAATCGGTCCAGATTTAGATATAGCTCCCATATATAGTTTCGTCCGATTTCATGTAAATAGTGCCCAAAGTCCCTATATATCTTCTGATTTGCACGAAATTTGGCATAACGTACTGAATTAAGCCTAGAGGGATGTCTGCCAAGTTTGGAGAAAATCGGTCCAGATTTAGATATAGCTCCCATATATAGTTTCGTCCGATTTGATGTAAATGGTCCACCAAAGTCGCTAAATATCTTCCGATTTGCACGAATTTTGGCATAACGTACTGAATTGAGTCTAGAATGATGTCTGCCAAGTTTCGTGAAAATAGGTCCTGATTTAGATATAGCTCCCATATATAGTTTCGTCCGATTTCATGTAAATGGTGCACCAAAGTCCCTATATATCCTTCGATTTGCACGAAATTTGGCATAACGTACTTAATTGAGCCTAGAATGATGTCTGCCAAGTTTCGTGAAAATCGGTCCAGATTTAGATATAGCTCCCGTTTATTATAGATTGATTTTAAGTAATTGACGTACTAAGGAACCAATTGGAATAAAACGTTCTGAAAGTTGTATAACCTAACCTGTGACAAGTTTGTTTGAAATCGCTCAATATTTGGATAGAGCTTCCATATATATTTTCGCCCGATTTCTAGTAAATTGGGCATCAAACTCCTCATGTTAGTCAGATTGACATCAAATTTTGCACAACTTAAAAAATTGAGCATAGAATTACGTAGTTGCGTTATCTAGAAGTGCAGACATAGCCCAACGGATGACCTATTTATATTTGTTTGAAGTCGATTGACATACTTTATGGATAGATCTAGGTAGATTCACATTTAGATAAATATCACATTTTTTTCATCCAATTTTATGTTATAGTTCTGCTTAATATACCCATAGTGGTGAAGGGTATCATATAGTCGGCCCCGTCCGACTTTACTACTTTCCTTACTGGTTTTAGGATAGATCCATGGTTCCTTTTGAGGATATGCATATAATCAGTTTCTGGGTATACAATAATGTGTGATGATGTTTGTGGAAATCGGTTTAGATTTAGATGTAGATCCAATATATGTTCGTCCGAGTTTAAGTAAATGGTCCACCGAAGAGATTTTTTCTTCCATATACACGGAATTTACACAATGAAATTAATTTGTTAAGTTTTGTGGAAATCACTTCAGAGTAACGAGTTTTGTATTTTGTAAAGGTGATGAAGGGTATCATATAGTCGTCCCCGTCCGCCTTTTGTATTAAAATAGCCCTTGTTACGTAAAGTTTCCTGTATGTTGAAGTTCCTATGCCAGCCTTCCAGCCTGAATGCATATAATTTAAGAGTCCTGACCTATTAGAGAATGCCAAATACTTTGTGGAGGCTATACAATATTTGTTCCGAGCGAATTGAACGACGGTTTTACTTTTTTACATTATACAATCTTCTGTAAAGACCTATAACCCGGGGAGTATAATATCATTGACATGACTAAATCGATCCACGTTATTCATGGTTCTGATAGAATCCGAAATAAGGAGCAACCCTTGCTATGCTTCAAATTTAAGAAAAAGGAGATTTGTTACATGGTTTTTGTCATCAGACAAGACAGCCTGTTTGGGGAGTACATCCGCATCATAATGCCAGTAAATGGTGATTATTCATAGCCATAGGAATATATTACCACATACAATCACCTACTGCAAAATTTGCGTAATAATTGTAATGATTATTTCCCATTAACAGACTAACAAAATTTCAAGTATTTAATATGAGTTGTAATATATATTAACTTAACATATTGTGGATTGAGGTATGTGGTTATCGGATAATAAAATAAATAAATCATATGGAAAGGACAGGATGTAGATAAAATTAAAACTTGTATGGAAGGCTGCCAAACTCGGACAGGTCCGACTACACAAACTTGCTCGAAATAAGCTATATGGATTTAAATGACACTTGAAACGTGTTACTTGGTCGTTTAAATTCAGATATTGTTCACGATGTTGTTTGTCTTATCGATTAAAATTGTTAAAGGTCTGTGATTAAAGTCTTTTGGATTAATATTGTTACACCACAGGAGTAACGTTATCATGAGACATTTGGACTATATGCTTTAAGTCTGTGGAAATATGGTTATAAACTTTAAAATACGATTATGAAGTCTATGGGGTCAAAATATCTACCCTATTATCTACCCATTATTATTTTGCTTTTAATTTTGAACAATGTTTGACCTAATCTTCCCTTCCCTTGACATTCCAGAGTGTATCACAAGCCGACCAAATATGAAAAATTCAATAAAATTGAGACAAGGGTTGCATGGCTGCGCATGGGTAATTTGAAACCAAGTTCACAGCATATTTTGTACGTTGTCTTGTGGCCTGGACGGATCCAGCCTTACCAGCATTTGTGGATGTAAGTATAAAATAATCCTATAGAAATATAGTATATAATTCAAAATCAAATTATCTAGCCTCCAATGGTACATCCTGCTGACAATATACCTGAAGGTGGTTCCATGACCATACTTTGTCTGGCCTTGGGAAATCCTGCTCCCACTATTTCATTATATGTTGGGGGACATTTAGTACATCAAGATGCTTCAAGACATATGGTCACGGTTATACACAATGTGACCGCAGATATGGAACATGTTTCGAGTTATGCCGATAACGGATATGGTGTGCCAATGCAGGCCACTCGGAAAGTTAATATATGCTGTAAGTTTTATAAAAATCAATAAAAGTTATGGAAAAGAATAGGTTTTTTTTAATAATTTATATTTAGATCCCTCCCAAAATCCAAGCCGCCGGCATAACAGTGGCCTCGGTGGGCAATGAAGTTGAACTGCGTTGTCTAGTCGATTCGAAACCCAAACCAAAAACTATTTTCTGGCGTGATCATGATGGTCGCATACCCGTCATTGAGGGTGGCAATTATCACATTATGGAACGTATCAACGAATCCCATCCGAATTTATATACCATGGTTGGCGATTATTTCTGTCATGCTGAAAATCCATATGGTTCTAAGACCATACCGGTATCGGTACGTTACGGAATGTCATAATGTTACGGAATGTTGTGCCCAAATGAATGTTTCGATGACGTGTCGCAGTGCCTGCAGTTATTATGTCGATATTGATGCTATAGCTGATAAACCTGAATGTATTGTCGAATTTGATAAAATGATGCGTTGTGCCGCTGATGGCTCAGATCATCGTAGTTGTTGTGCTGATTCAAATGTACCACGTAAATGTTTGAATTGGTGTCGTGGAGAGCCGGTGCGTTCCAAGGAGATTTGTAGTTTGCAGTATGCAAGAACTATTGTGGGTTGTTTTGAATCGAATCGGGATCGTTTGCCAGGACCACCGGAAAATATTGCCGTTAGTGTGATATCGGATAGTGAGGTGGTTATAAAGTGAGTAATATAAACATGAAATATAATATATTAAAGATTAACGATTTTTTAAAGGACACAACTGTCCGACCGACGCCGTTTTAGTATGAACGTTTATTTGGAGTATTTAAATAACTTAGCATATAAATACAGCTTCAATATATAAGTTTAAGGAAAAATGGAAGGGAACAACGAGAAAATTCGGTACATTTTACAGTTTTTCTTTGACAAAGGTAAAAATGCAAGACAAACGGGTAAAATTGTAAATGATGTTTTGGTTCCGATACTGTAACAGCCAATTATGTGCAATTTGGTTTTCCGTTCAGGAATTTTTGATGTTAAAGTTGCACCTCGCACAGGTAGGCCGGTCGTCGAAAATGTCGATAGCATGTTAAATAAAGTCCTATAGTTCATATAAAAATAATCGACTTCTTTTTTCCCAACCTAATGTTTTCGTCCGATTTATAAATTCTTCATAGGTGATAAATCATAGCACTATACATATGAGCCCGAAACCAGATAGCATTGTACCGTGAGTTATTCCTGGAAGAAACATTTCGAAGCAAATGGTCGCCTGCTTTTTTGGTACAATTGGCGACTATTCCCCTTATTCTTTGAATTTACGAAATTGTTTGTGAATTTTCAATCGGTTAGCAATACGGTCTTTAATCGCCATAATACTAAAATTCCTGGAAGAAATCCAAAACTATTCGCAAACACAAATCGTATGTCTATGAGTTCATTTCTCCAGAAAGTATATGAAATCTAAAAAGTTAAGAGTTTTAGTTAACAACAAAATACGAGCCAAAAGGATGAGCATCATCGCTTCGGCCCCACGTTGGGCGCCAAATTAATGTAGTGTCCCGAAGGATATGGTGAACTTTTCTAAAAAATAATTTTTAACACCGAAGAACATGTAAGGATGAAGGACTGCGGGAGCCATTTCTTTTGCTAGTCAATCAGTCGGTTGGGGAGGTTCGGTCCTTATCCTCATACATCTGTTACCCACCACATATAATTATTTTTGACTCCCTTTTTATTTGATAAAAATATACGTTAAAAATTGAAAATAAAAAATATGTCAGGAGGACTAATAATAAAAAAAAACAAGTCCCCTAATTAGTCAACAAAAGCAGATATCTATAAATAACAAAAATATCACTGTCTTTTCACAAAATTGATCTCACCGATGTTAGTGTGAGATTGTGCATCATTACCCTCTCCATCCAGTGTCCTGTTAGCACCGGTTTATATTATCAGGACCCCTATTTTACTTACACTTCCTTCTTCACAGACTCATTAGGCATGAAAACATCTATTATTTACTTTAACAGGCCATTCTTTGGCATAAACATTTTAATAAATTCAATTCATATTATAATACAATACTATACAAAAAATATAAAAAAATGTTGGTCCCTTAAGGGGTTAATGGAATTCAAATGTTTCTACAGTAAGCAAAACAAGCTGAAGAAAGTAGAGATACAAAAAAATCATTGTTTACATTTATAGATTTTTTTACATTACTAGGTATGTATGTAGCAGAATGTGCGTTTTCGTTTTGCTTTATTCAAAACTAGTAATGAGACATCATATGGGAGAATGAGAGAGAGAGAGACTTAAACTGTTATACAAAAAACTCATATAACTGATAATTAATAAACAAAGCTCACTTCATTCTCTATGATTTCTCATTACAAGTAACTCAATTAAATTCGATGTAGAGAGAGAGCATAAAGAGTTTCAAAAATCAGCTGATCGAACTTACCACCTTTATCATGTTTTGAAGAAGGCCTCCTGCAGAAGATGATTGATGGCTGCTGCTGCAAAGAAAAATATATTGCCACTCGGAAAGCTGTCTCTTACAAAACGAAAATGCTCTGTTCTTGCTCAATTGGGAAATACTCAATAAAAAAATATAATTAAGAGGTTGTAAAAAAAATACGAATAATATTTATATATGAAGACGCAAATCGATAATGTGACGTTTATAAAAAAGTAGCGCATCGATAGTACGACAAAAAAATACGTAATTGTCATGTATCTCATAGGTAGTTAGACCATGGAAGTTTCTGATATTTTATTTTGGAATTTTTTCCATATGATTTGCAAAGGCTTTAATGGAAACTCAGGCAATATAGATGATTTTGTACTAGATTAGCATTGGCATCCATGAAAATTCTTTTGCGCCTTCGTACTGATTTCCTTTGGGACTTCACATATAGGAAAGTATTTTTCTGGTTCATTTGCCATTTTATTACCCTTTAGCAACTTCTGGTCAGTTGGAAAAATTGATCACGCTACCCTATGGGTAGCGTGAATCTTTAATAAAAACGTTGTTTTGCCAAGTTGTGGGTTTTTGTGGGATAATGGTTTTAAAAGAGCCAGATTTCCTCAACAGTAAAAAGTGTTTTCTGTGGCAATATGAAGACAAATATTTCGTCAGGCACTTTCTAATTATAACATTATTTTGCATGCTCACCTCCAATTTGGTATAAAAATATTTAGATTTTTATTAAACAGGTTAAAATGTTTTCAATTATTTTATAAAGTTGTGCTTATAATTTTAATGATGAAAAATTAGAGTACTGATTTTGTTTCGGCTTTTTTTTGTTCTTAACACTTCAACTGTTGGATATGAAAGGAAGTTGGAGTGAAAGCCTTTAGAAGTTGATACCTCAATTTTTGATAATTTGACATTCGTATACAACATGGCAAATACTGTAGTCGTGTTACCACATTTATTCTTATTGCTCATTGTTGCAAATAGAAGTATTAAAATTTTAAAATTTGTGATAGAAATAAAAATTGTTAATTCGACTCTTTTTTGCTAATCTGAAGAAAATTTAATGGTATAAAGATAAGTAAACTTCTGTTTTTTTATATAAAAATGTATGTTTGCAACATTCAATAGTTGGTGTTTAGATCTAACTAGATTTGTTTGCCAAACATCTTGCATCTAGTCAAGTACCAAACCACCTAAATTTACGGTATATAATTCACCTCAGAAGTAGAATAGCTGATCAAAATAAACTATATAAAAATTGAGATTGGTATTGATCTCATTTATAACTGTCATCATTTTACTATATTTTATTGATCATTTTCGTAACAATAAAAGCGCTTCAACAAACATAAAGTGAATACCGTTCATCAAGACGATTTTTATTTTTGGAATTTTATATATTAAATTTTGTGAAAAAAAACTAACAAAAAGAATTGGCGACAATTGTTAATGAATTTAAATTAAAACATGTTAGTTAAAAGTAAACTGTGGATTATGAAATATTTATAAAAAAAATAATATAAAGAGGCACAGAAATAAATGTACACTAAATATGCCATGGAGATGCAAATGCAGATGTAAATAAAGGCAAGCATAGGAATAATTCTTCTGGAAAAATATGCAATGCGGAAAAAACATTAAAATTATGGTAAATATTATTTTTAATAGTGCAAGAATATTTATGTGTTTAATATGTGTAAATTTTGGTCTATTTTTGATTTGGGTGTTAAAGAAACTTTCAAGTGAATATAAATATAAGAAATAATATTGCCAAACGTTCACTACAGATCACATATTTAATTTCGTCCGATTCCATTATTTTCTATACATATGAGCAGCTCTTGGGTGTACCCAAAATGGTGAAGGGGCGACCCTTTCCCTGTCCCGTTTAATTTCCTGTATGTTAAAGTGTCTTCAATTTGAAACATTAACTTTTGTAAGAGTATATAAGGGCCCGACCGATTAGAGAATGTCAACTACTGATTGGAGGCTATACAAAATTCGTTCCAAGGATGATACAAGGTTTTTATCATCAGACAAGACAGCCTGTGGAATTTTCGCCAGCTCACACGTTCTGCCAAATTTATTTGGCATTGTTCACTGGGTTATTAACATATTTAATTTTCATGCAGCTTTATAGGAATAATTTTCGTACAAATTAATAATAAATGGTTTATTTGGGAGAGAACAGATCCTAGGAAAATATTACAACATACATACACCTACTGCAAAATTTGCGTAATAATTGTAATGATTATTTCCCATTAACAGACTAACCAAATGTCAGGAATTTAATATGAGTTGTAATATATATTAATTTAAAGGACAGGATGTACATAAAATTAAAACTAGTATGGAAGGGGCCAAACTCGGACAGGTCGACTACAAAAGACTTGCTCGAAATAAGCTCTATATATTTAAATGACACTTGAAACGTGTTATTTGGTCGTATAAATTTAGATATTTTTCACGATGTTGTTTGTCTTATCGATTAAAATAGTTAAAGGTCGGTGATTAAAGTATTTTGGATTAATATTGTTACACCACAGGAGTAACGTTATCATGAGACATTTGGACTATATGCTTCAAGTCTGTGGAAATTTGGTTATAAATTTTAAAATACGATTATGAAGTCTATGGGGTCAAAATATCTACCATATTATCTACCCACTATTATTTTGTTTTTAATTTTGAACCCTGTTTGACCTAATCGTCTCTTCCCTTGACATTCCAGAGTGTATCACAAGCCAACCAAAGCTGAAAAATTCAATAAAATTGAGACAAGAGTTGCATGGCTGCGCATGGGTAATTTGAAGCCAAGTTCACAGCATATTTTGTACGTTGAAGCCTGGACGGATCCAGCCTTACCAGCCTTTGTGGATGCAAGTATAAAATAATCCTATAGAAATATATTATATAATTCAAAATCAAATTATCTAGCCTCCTACGGTACATCCTGCTGATAATATACCCGAAGGTGGTTCCATGACCATACTTTGTCTGGCCTTGGGAAATCCTGCTCCCACTATTTCATTATATGTTGGGGGACATTTAGTACGTCAAGATGCTTCAAGACATATGGTCACGGTTATACACAATGTGACCGCAGATATGGAACATGTTTCGTGTTATGCCGATAACGGATATGGTGTGCCAATGCAGGCCACACGGAAAGTTAATATATGCTGTAAGTTTTATAAAAATCAATAAAAGTTATGGAAAAGAATAGAGTTTTTTTTTTATAATTTATATTTAGACCCTCCCAAAATCCAAGCCGCCGGCATAACAGTGGCCTCGGTGGGCAATGAAGTTGAACTGCGTTGTCTCGTCGATTCGAAACCCAAACCAAAAACTATTTTCTGGCGTGATCATGATGGTCGCATACCCGTCATTGAGGGTGGCAATTATCACATTATGGAACGTATCAATGAACTGTGGATTATGAAATATTTATAAAAAAAAAATAATATAAAGAGGCACAGAAATAAATGTACACTAAATATGCCATGGAGATGCAAATGCAGATGTAAATAAAGGCAAGCATAGGAATAATTCTTCTGGAAAAATATGCAATGCGGAAAAAACATTAAAATTATGGTAAATATTATTTTTAATAGTGCAAGAATATTTATGTGTTTAATATGTGTAAATTTTGGTCTATTTTTGATTTGGGTGTTAAAGAAACTTTCAAGTGAATATAAATATAAGAAATAATATTGCCAAACGTTCACTACAGATGACATATTTAATTTCGTCCGATTCCATTATTTTCTATACAAATGAGCAGCTCTTGGGTGTACCCAAAATGGTGAAGGGGCGACCCTTTCCCTGTCCCGTTTAATTTCCTGTATGTTAAAGTGTCTTCAATTTGAAACATTAACTTTTGTAAGAGTATATAAGGGCCCGACCGATTAGAGAATGTCAACTACTGATTGGAGGCTATACAAAATTCGTTCCAAGGATGATACAAGGTTTTTATCATCAGACAAGACAGCCTGTGGAATTTTCGCCAGCTGTTCTGCCAAATTTATTTATATATAACATATTTAATTTTCATGCAGCTTTATAGGAATAATTTTCGTACAAATTAATAATAAATGGTTTCTTTGGGAGAGAACAGATCCTAGGAAAATATTACAACATACATACACCTATGCAAAATATAATTGTAATGATTATTTCCCATTAACAGACTAACCAAATGTCAGGAATTTAATATATATATATATTAATTTAAAGGACAGGATGTACATACAATTAAAACTAGTATGGAAGGGGCCAAACTCGGACAGGTCGACTACAAAAGACTTGCTCGAAATAAGCTCTATATATTTAAATGACACTTGAAACGTGTTATTTGGTCGTATAAATTTAGATATTTTTCACGATGTTGTTTGTCTTATCGATTAAAATAGTTAAAGGTCGGTGATTAAAGTATTTTGGATTAATATTGTTACACCACAGGAGTAACGTTATCATGAGACATTTGGACTATATGCTTCAAGTCTGTGGAAATTTGGTTATAAATTTTAAAATACGATTATGAAGTCTATGGGGTCAAAATATCTACCATATTATCTACCCACTATTATTTTGTTTTTAATTTTGAACCCTGTTTGACCTAATCGTCTCTTCCCTTGACATTCCAGAGTGTATCACAAGCCAACCAAAGCTGAAAAATTCAATAAAATTGAGACAAGAGTTGCATGGCTGCGCATGGGTAATTTGAAGCCAAGTTCACAGCATATTTTGTACGTTGAAGCCTGGACGGATCCAGCCTTACCAGCCTTTGTGGATGCAAGTATAAAATAATCCTATAGAAATATATTATATAATTCAAAATCAAATTATCTAGCCTCCTACGGTACATCCTGCTGATAATATACCCGAAGGTGGTTCCATGACCATACTTTGTCTGGCCTTGGGAAATCCTGCTCCCACTATTTCATTATATGTTGGGGGACATTTAGTACGTCAAGATGCTTCAAGACATATGGTCACGGTTATACACAATGTGACCGCAGATATGGAACATGTTTCGGGTTATGCCGATAACGGATATGGTGTGCCAATGCAGGCCACCCGGAAAGTTAATATATGCTGTAAGTTTTATAAAAATCAATAAAAGTTATGGAAAAGAATAGAGTTTTTTTTTATAATTTATATTTAGACCCTCCCAAAATCCAAGCCGCCGGCATAACAGTGGCCTCGGTGGGCAATGAAGTTGAACTGCGTTGTCTAGTCGATTCGAAACCCAAACCAAAAACTATTTTCTGGCGTGATCATGATGGTCGCATACCCGTCATTGAGGGTGGCAATTATCACATTATGGAACGTATCAATGAATCTCATCCGAATTTATATACCATGGTGTTGCGCATACATAAATTGCAAGCAAGTGATGTTGGTGATTATTTCTGTCATGCTGAAAATCCATATGGTTCTAAGACCATACCGGTATCGGTACGTTACGGAATGTCATAATGTTACGGAATGTTGTGCCCAAATGAATGTTTCGATGACGTGTCGCAGTGCCTGCAGTTATTATGTCGATATTGATGCTATAGCTGATAAACCTGAATGTATTGTCGAATTTGATAAAATGATGCGTTGTGCCGCTGATGGCTCAGATCATCGTAGTTGTTGTGCTGATTCAAATGTACCACGTAAATGTTTGAATTGGTGTCGTGGAGAGCCGGTGCGTTCCAAGGAGATTTGTAGTTTGCAGTATGCAACTACTATTGTGGGTTGTTTTGAATCGAATCGGGATCGTTTGCCAGGACCACCGGAAAATATTGCCGTTAGTGTGATATCGGATAGTGAGGTGGTTATAAAGTGAGTAATATAAACATGAAATATAATATATTAAAGATTAACGATTTTTTAAAGGACACAACTGTCCGACCGACGCCGTTTTAGTATGAACGTTTATTTGGAGTATTTAAATAACTTAGCATATAAATACAGCTTCAATATATAAGTTTAAGGAAAAATGGAAGGGAACAACGAGAAAATTCGGTACATTTTACAGTTTTTCTTTGACAAAGGTAAAAATGCAAGACAAACGGGTAAAATTGTAAATGATGTTTTGGTTCCGATACTGTAACAGCCAATTATGTGCAATTTGGTTTTCCGTTCAGGAATTTTTGATGTTAAAGTTGCACCTCGCACAGGTAGGCCGGTCGTCGAAAATGTCGATAGCATGTTAAATAAAGTCCTATAGTTCATATAAAAATAATCGACTTCTTTTTTCCCAACCTAATGTTTTCGTCCGATTTATAAATTCTTCATAGGTGATAAATCATAGCACTATACATATGAGCCCGAAACCAGATAGCATTGTACCGTGAGTTATTCCTGGAAGAAACATTTCGAAGCAAATGGTCGCCTGCTTTTTTGGTACAATTGGCGACTATTCCCCTTATTCTTTGAATTTACGAAATTGTTTGTGAATTTTCAATCGGTTAGCAATACGGTCTTTAATCGCCATAATACTAAAATTCCTGGAAGAAATCCAAAACTATTCGCAAACACAAATCGTATGTCTATGAGTTCATTTCTCCAGAAAGTATATGAAATCTAAAAAGTTAAGAGTTTTAGTAAACAAGAAAATACGAGCCAAAAGGATGAGCATCATCGCTTCGGCCCCACGTTGGGCGCCAAATTAATGTAGTGTCCCGAAGGATATGGTGAACTTTTCTAAAAAATAATTTTTAACACCGAAGAACATGTAAGGATGAAGGACTGCGGGAGCCATTTCTTTTGCTAGTCAATCAGTCGGTTGGGGAGGTTCGGTCCTTATCCTCATACATCTGTTACCCACCACATATAATTATTTTTGACTCCCTTTTTATTTGATAAAAATATACGTTAAAAATTGAAAATAAAAAATATGTCAGGAGGACTAATAATAAAAAAAAACAAGTCCCCTAATTAGTCAACAAAAGCAGATATCTATA